AGAAAGATTCACTTACGGATGAACATTGTCGGATCCTATATAAGATTGAGAAGACTGTGGAAGTTAATACTTCCTCTTGGATGAAATACTAATGTAAACAGAAATGAGAAATAGCAAAATTTGTTTACAAAAACAGCAGATTCATGTTTTTATAGGAACCAGAGATGTTCATGGCGTCTGAAAATCTGCCGCTGCCGCGATAGGATTTTGAGAAACGTGTCGCCATGGACATCTCTGTTTTGAGCCATTAGTCTATTAAAGTTCTTCGTAAATGGTTAGAATCTTAAGGTAAAATCTTCGAACCTTATCAACAAGTGAATTAATAAAATCTCAAGAAATAAACATCCTCCCCAATTGGAACAAATTTTAGAATAGATGACCTTAAAAAGTGATAATCATTGACTGAATGTATTTTAAAAGATGAATATTTTTTTTTAGGTTCCATACGAATAAGTTTGATAACAGTTTATTTAGATTAAGTCAAAGACTAGAATTGATCTCCGTAAAACATATCTCTATTTGCCATTTTCTTTTCACTTAATAATCAAATAAGACAATACTCAAATCTTAGATTTATAAATTCTTAAAAATTGAACAAATAAAAATTATCCAATAGTCATTTGTATGAAGTACTTCGACACTTATTGTTGAAGGCAACCACTGAATAGTTGCCATCGAAACACAAAAAAAAGAACTTTATATGTATATATCTTAACAGATAAAGAACAAAATATTATTTTTATTTTTTATGTAATATATATGATTATGTTGTAAAAAGAAAATTTAATGAAATCTTAATTAATCGATAATATTAGGTAATTTTTTATAACTAATAGACGAATTAAGAAATTTTTCTTCTTCGCCACGTAATAATAAAATTTCATCTTCAAATTTCGTTCCATGACGTTCACGTATTAAAGGTGTACGACGAAAATCTTTTAAACTATGACAATTCATACAATTTTCTATCGGATATTGTGACCAAGTAAAAATATGTTTATGACATTCAATACATTCAAAAAATTTTTGTTTTATTTCACATATTTTAACATAATGTTGTTTTTGTTTACATTATATTGACTGTTTATATGATGTATAATGACATTGTCGACAAATAATAACTTTTATATCACGTTCCATTATTCGAAGAAGTTTTTCTTCAATATTTTCTTTTTTTTATAACGTTCAAATATTTCATTAAGTGTCATTTGATTATATAAATCAGAATGAGATGATTTCATATTCAATATATCAATAAAATGTTTTTGATCAATTGAATCAGTATTATTATTATTATTATTGGATATTTTCAAACGTTTTGATGAAAGATTTATATTAGATTCAATATTTGATCGTTTCGGAGAAGAATTTAAGTATATCAATTGTGCGTTGTTTAGCATTATTAATTGCTTCAGAACTAGCTGATTTTGTTAAATCAACAAATTGTTTAGGTGATGATATTAAAAAAATAAAATTCAATTCTTGAAAATGAATCACTTTTGAATTGAAATTAATTTTTAAATTTCAATTTGAAATAGATATTAGACAAGCTCGTAAACAAAAAAAACGTAATGATGTTTCATAATCTTCAAAAGATACTTTTTAAAATGAAATCCTATAAAGTCTTCTTATATTTTCTCGAAATAACTTACTTTTGCTAATGACAGATGTTGAACTTGTTTGATTTAGTGTTAAACTTGTTGATGAATTTTTTAATTCTCGCGTAGATGATGTTGATGTAGCCAATGTAAACCTAATGTTTAATTGTTAATTCATTAGCATTTGGAAAATTGAAATTATTTTCTTGAGTACATAAATCAAATTTATAATCTTTTCTTTTGTATGGATTTGTTAAATAAATTCTTACACTATCTAATTTTTTTTTTGCCAATTATGTTCATGTGTAAAAACATCATTGGCATCAAGTCCATAATGAAGAGACAAATTAATAAATTAAAAGAAGATATATTAAGTCATTATTTTGTATAATACTAGTATGATATAGATCAAAAATACGTAAATTTGCCATTGAAGAAAAAGTTGGATCATATTCTATAAGACGTAAAACTGCAACACAACCAAAGAAATGTTTTATTAATTTTTGGAATAAATTGAAATATATATTATCAACTTTAATAGAAACATATTTGAAATATTCTAGTGTAATAGAATCTTGATCAATATTTTGATAATTAGATCCTGAATCAATTGAAAAACGATTATTAAATACAAAATATTCATTAGGACTAAGTGTAAAGTCAGTCGAATAAATTGACATTAGTTGTTGATTATATTTTATTTGATATATAATTTTATAACATGTTAATTTCGATTAACGAAATATATGATGAAAAAGAATACATGGATCTTGAACATAATCAACAAGACTAAAACCTAATGAATGTAATTTTGATAAATAAATTAAATGTTAAAGAATGTTATTAAGATGTTTTGCATAAATATTATCATAAATTAATGTTTCAAGTTGAATATAATCACAAATAATGTGTGGTGGCGAGAAAATAATATTAACAGTAAATGGATTTGATAAAGATAAAATTTGATTTTGACATTGTTATAATATTTATTTGAATTGAAAAATTTCTATTGACAATTAAACTCATTAATCGTTTATTAAGATAAAATAAAATTGTTTGTAAACATGATAAATATCAAGATATTGAAATATTTCATAAATAGTTTCATTTTCTAAATTTTCTAAACGGGATCTAAATCAAAACAAAATTCGATGCTTAGATAAACTTCACAGAACTGACTTGTTTATTAATACTAAAAGCGAATAAGAAAAGAAAAACTATAAATATATATTTTCATACAAAACATTTCTTTTTACAATATTTTTTTAGTCTTATATAATTGAAATTCAATCAAATCAATTAAAAAAGATTTTTGTAGATAAATAACGAACTTGAAATTTCATTTGATTTTCATTTAAGTAAACGAATTTTTCTCTAAATTTTCAGATCAACAACATAATTTACTAAACAAGAAAGATTTGAACTGATTGAATAAAAAGCATCAAAAATGATAAAACTTTTAAAAACATCAAAAAATCTCTTTCTTTTTGATCATCAACAAAATGACTACAAAATTATTTGATTTTCTTGGATCTGATAATGTTGAAGATGATCCATTGTCATTGAAGAAACACTCTTTTAGTGCTGACAATAATAAATGATATTTCCATTTCTAAAGATTAAATCAAGGTTAAATGAAATTTGTAAGGAAAGTGTCAAATAAACTGAAATATTTGATCAAAATAATCAAGTAATGTTCTTTGAGAGTTTCTTGTGTCAATAACTAATTGTTCGGATATTATTAATCTGTTAAAAGAATTTCTAGGAAAATAAAACCTTGAATGAAGAAATTTTTGTTTAAGATTTATTTTCGATTCGATATGAAGATATGTGTGAAATGCTTTTCTAACGGATTCGTATTATTAATTTTAAACCAAAAATGAAAAGTTTGTTAGCGCAGCCCCTTCGGAGCTGAAATGCGGACCTCACGTATATTTTTCAGCTTCATTATATTAATATGTAATATAAATAGTATAAAATCATGAATTTTTTCATTTTCTGAGAGACATCCTTATTTTTCGTCTTCTTTGTTGCTATTCGCTCAGTATTTTTCATTTTTAACACTGCTTTTTTTTTAAATTTTACATTTTTATTATAAGAAGCATTGAATTACATAGCGAATGAAGTTGTTATATGTATATCCATTATTTTAAACCTGGTCGCTAAGGTCTGTAATGAGAGGGGGGAGTCGCAAAACCTTGACTTTAAAACTTACACTCACTATTTTCTTCGAAAATATATGTGAGTTCCACAAATGCAAGACTTGTCGAAAATAACAACTTAATTGAGCTACGAGATTAGGAAGAATTAAGATACCTAAATCAGTACCCACTTTTCAAGACATAGCACATTCCTCGATAATGTTGTTAAGACAAATTGCGTGAGAATTCAAAACAAAAGACATGTTACTTTTTCTGACTAACAGTAAAGAACGTTTAAGGTAGGTAGAAAAAAAATATTTTTCCGAACTTTTCAATGTGAATACAACAATTAATACAGATA